AGGGTCGTACTAATCCGCTGGATTCCTTGTTGTCTCTAAGCGTGCATAGGTTGGCGCACTTGATGCCATACGGACCAAAAGGCAAGTGGCGGCTGTTCGTTCAAATTGGTAACGGTCAGCTGATCCTTCTCGTCATTTGATCGTAGGAATTAGAAAATTAAAAAGAAAACACCTGTGGGCTTCATCTTCAAATAGAGATTAAAGGGGATAACTAATCCCTTAACGCAATGGAGGTAAGAAATTCATCTGAATCACCTTAAATCTCATATGTAACTTTTCACAAGCTGAAGTGAAAGTTCTTTTCAAATCTATAGCAGCTGAATCAGGAGGTTTATAACTTAGTGAAAGAGGCTCTTCAAGATGAGAAGGTTACTAGAGGTTTAGTTCAGCATTTGCTCTCAGACGCCGTTGGTGTGGCTAAACTAAAAGACTTGGGGGACGTTGAGAGATATATGCTGACAACACATGTTTCAAACGTAAAAGCAACTAAGCTGTTGACGATATTTGCACCATTTAAAGGTATGGTTATAACGAAGCAATAATTATAATAATAATTCTTGGAACATGTTGTCCACTTTTTTTAAAAACGTTTGTGCTCACAACAGGAGAGTCTGATGAATCTGTACCGGCACAGTCAGGTTCAGTAGCCTCTGGCTCTGCTTCCACATCTATACCAACACCAACACAGTCGGTTTCAGTAGCCTCTAGCTGTGCTTCCACAACAACCAATACAGACCACTCGGTGTCTCCATTTCAACCAGTTCGGCAAGTCATACAGGACAGAAGTTTTTTCAAATTTGAAGTGTGTTGGACTGAACTCCCCAAAACGACAGTGGAAAATCTTACTCAATCTAAGTTAAAGAACCAAAAAGCAAATCCAAAAGACATAAGTGACATCAAACTTGCAATTGCAAAAAAACTGGCGGTTGCTTATAAGGGTCATAAAGAGCTCTATCCAGGCTCACAGAAATATCCAGGTCGCAAAATTTATGCCAAAATAACAACGGAGGTGAGATATATTTTTTTTAATTTCCTCTACAAGTCTCTCATTTCCATATCATTTCAATCAAAATTGTATAATTCTTTCTGATTTTTCAGGTAGGGAATAAATTTGGGGATAGCGTAAAAACAACAGTCAAGGGAATTGCACTAAAAGATGGAATGTCCGACTTCTTTTTTAAATTTGAAAACTGTGTAGAAAATTTGATACGCAATGATCCAGATGAGCAAACTACTACTTTTACAAAATCAAAGGTAGCAAAAGGCAAGAAGCTCATAGGTGTTGACCCTGACGCATACAGTCCGGCGGTTGTTGAATCAACCAGACAAGAACAGATTGGTACAAAGGAACACTTGAAAAATATAAGTTTGGTCAACATTAAAGATTGGGATTGGGTTGAAATCAAACAAGATTTGTGTAAGACTTACAGTCTTCAGCGTGAAGATGTTCTATTGGCCACTGAAGACGCGTGCAAGGACCAGGTTCCTGAAGATGACATCTTAGAACTCCGAAGTTTGGAGAAATTGAAAATTGAATGGCCATTCCTCTTCACAGCAAAGGGTTTAGAAATTCACCACAATCTTCTCACAAAGCGGGACCTGGGAACAAAATGTGCATCATTTATGAAAGAGCATTTGGAAGTACTACTACACTATCTGACATCTTGCACCAAATCAAGCAACGTGGACAATCTGTTTATCCGCCTGCGTGTGGAAATGGCGTGCAGAGATGTATCAATAGATACAAAACTTTTGATGATGGTTCAAATGTTGTCGAACCATTTCAAAGAGGCTCACTTATTCTCATCACTGTTTGTGCCAGTTGAGGTGAGTTAGTAATACTTAGTGAAAAGAGACAAGTGGCACATATTCTAGAAGTTGTTTTTTAAATTGTATTCTCTCTGACATTTTTCAGAGAACAGTACAACCATCATCATTCCAGTACACAGTTCTAGAGGAAATCCAAGGCCCATGCGTAGTGGCTCAAGGTAATAAAAGGAAATAAAATTTTTAGATTTATATCATTACTTTCTATGAAATGCATAGAGAAACAGCACAAGAGTCTTTTGGAATACATTACTTTCATCTCACTTTTTGTTTCAGATACTAACATATATGCAGCAAAAGCATATTTTGTCTGTGCCGACAAGGTTCATTTAGTGGAGGTAAGCAACCCCAAAGAAGCACTTGTTGCTTTGTTTGAACTGTGCTTCTGCCTGAACCTGGAGTACCCAGAACTTAGTCTCACATTTGAATTCCTAGAAAGGTAAGCTCAAAATTTTACTTAAAATCAACAGAATGAAACAGTGAGTTTTGGTTGGACTAATTTTAGTTTGAATTCTTACAGATATGTTTTTGAGATGGGGTTGGTAGATACCCGAGTGAAAAAGAGAGGAAAACAAGTTGTTGTGTTAAGTGACCAAGTGAAACGTCTCATCGAAGGCTTTGAAGAATTTGTTGAACAGTTCAAAAAGGAATTACCAGAATATTTGGCACACACACAGAATGACATGGAAATGGAATTGTGAAATTTGTTTTGATACTTTTGTCCTTCGGTACTTTAGATTTGATTATATCAAAATCATTTATGAATTGTTGAGTTTAGTGCCTACATATGCACAGTTAAAATGAAATTCTGTTTAAAAAAATCAACTGTTGTTTTGTTTGTTTTTTTACTTTAATTTACTAGTTCTATTAAAATTTTGTAAATCTGTGATAATTTCCTACAAAATGTTATACTTTTTCAATTACCACATGTTTCACTTCACTTTTACAACTTCTATATTAAGTGT